ACCTGGACGTCTGTGGTGCATTAAACCAAAACAGAAAAAAAAAAAGACAGAGCAGAAATGTAACTCAAACAAAATTAAAAAGTATTTAATTGATGATTTGTTTCATTTAGAACAAATTTTAAACTCCTTTTCAGTGATTCAAACAAGTCTCAGAAGATTTTTTAATTTTTTGTGTCCTGCATAATGCTCAGAGCTGTTCAGGTTTTATGAACCTTCCAGGACCTTCAGGTGTTCTCGAGATGACTTGTTCCACAAGTGAAATTCAAACATACAGTCGATCAATATCTACTTTTATGGTTTTCTGTCTGATGCAGCGACAGAGCAGAAAGGTCAGCTGAGCGGTGAGGTGGCTGCTGAAAAAAAAAAAACACTTCAAAAATAGCTTGAAATGCAAATAATCTTGCAAAGCTCTTTTTGGCATTTGTCTGAGTTTTTATAGGCTGAAAATAAACCAGACGCTGAAAAATAATTTGCTGCAACCAGTGGCTCATCTCACCACAAGAACAGATTAAAGACCAGAGCGTTTGATGGATGCATTTATGAACAYGGATGTCAAGGATTATTTTTACTTGCATTTATACCGATTGCTAATAGTTTCTGGTTTAAARGCAAAGAAATGGGAAGATGTCATTAATAAATGTGATAGAAAGTTTTCACAGTGCTTCTGCTGTGGAAGGTCACAGGATCAATTTTTATTTTTACCAACATAATGAGAGAACGATAAAGAAAATGTCAAGTATTTACACATGCCGTGGAAGGATTGGTAAACAGATTTGTCCTTTAATCAAATAGTTKTGCTCGAAAATATTAAATAAAAAGAAAAAGTAGTTGTGATCTCARTGGTTTGCCTGGTTTAATGAAAATAATTCATTTTAAAATTCTAAACGGGAGCTTTTTGTTGTAGGATTTGCAGAACGTGATGTAGGATTGTTTTGCTGAATTAAGCAAGATCTTTTTTTAAAAAAAAAAGAAAACAGTAGATAACAATAGAAGTTGTTCCTGCAGATAATGTTCCTCAGGACAGGTTACACATATATCACAATGTAAAATAATGCGCCTTAACATGGCGTGTCATTTAAAAGAATACTTCTACACGTCAAAACTCAGACCTCGGGATTGTTTTTCTCCTTCTCTCAGCAGAATAACTTGAATTATGAGAGGGCTAAAGAAGGCTTTTCTTCCTCAGTGAGTTGAAGCAGGTTAGACTCTCCTTAGAATAAGCTGGCAGAGTCCAGAAGAGGTGTTGCTGCTGACCTCGCTCACTCAGCTAACGGGCTGTTTGTACCACTTCATTCCACAAGCATGTTCAAACACGCACTGCCAGGCTGAAAGACAGCTTCTTTCCCAAGAGCCGTGGCATCCATCTCCCCTCTGCAGACACACCAGAACACCACCCTTTCACACACACACACACACACACACACACACACACACACACACACACACA